TCTTTCCCTGGCTGGTCTTTGACTCCAGGTTGCAGGAGATCAGGAGCTGCTCCTTCTCAGATGAATTCCAGGGAAGCTGTCTAAGAACCCCAGGAGCCTCCGGGGAGATGGAGCTGACAGAGGCAGTTCCTGCCATTGTTTTTCAGACTGCATTTTTGAAAGCCATCCAGAGCTGCCTTACAATAAGCAAACAAAACTCAATTCCTCTTTCTTCAGGAAAAATGACTTGAATTGGATGTCCAGAACCTTGGATTAACAGCAAAGAGAGTTGCAGAGACCAGCAGGTACCTGCTGGATCTGTGTGCCAGCCCTGAGCACTCAGCCTGCTGCAGATCAGATCTGAGGGCTGCTGCTTTCCCAGCCTTTCTGTGGAGTTTGACTTGTGTCTCTCCAGAGCTGGTCGTTTAGCAACAACCTGATCCTAAAGACATAAAGAGATAAACTTCAATGCAGAGGAAGCAAGACTCTGCTCCAGCTCTGATTCCAAGAAGTTGCTCAAATTTGTGAAGCTTCTAGCAAGGTCCAGTGCTGCTGCTGCAAGGCATTTTATTTGTCCACTTCACATTTAAACCAGGTTTTTACTCTTAGTTTGCTCAGTAAAAGAATAAGTCAATTTACAATGTGCTCAGCTCCAGCAATTAGCCACCAAACAAAAGGTACTAATTTGATGCAGCCATTAAACCCTCCATGCTTGAGTGCTCCACTGGTCCAGTTGTTGCCAAGTGCAGTGCACTGCCAGCTCCCAGCACCAGCAGGACATGGAGTGGCTGCTGGCAGCCTGCAGGGAACTGCCTGGGAGGCTTCAGAGCAGCCCATCCCTCTTTAATTCAATACCCAGCACAAGGGGACACTGCCAAGTGCCAGTGCCCATCAAGGGCGTGTGGAGGGATGGGCAGCCAGAAAGAGTGGATAGAGAAGAGGAGATGCCAGGAGATGCTGCTCTTTATCATAGAATCACAGACTGGTTTGGGTTGGAAGGGACCTGAAAAATCATCCAGATCCAACCCCCTGCATGGGCAGGGACACCTCCCACCAGCCCAGGCTGCTCCAAGCCCCATCCAACCTGCCCTTCAACACTGCCAGGGATGGGGCAGCCACAGCTTCCCTGGGCAACCTGGGCCAGGCTCTCACCACCCTCACACTCCACAATTCCCTCCTCATGTCTTTCCTAAATCTCCCCTCCTCCAGTTTTCATCCCTTCCCCCTTGTCCTCTCCCTCCCTGCCCTTGTCCCAAGTCCCTCCCCAGCTTTCCTGGAGCCCCTTCAGGCACTGGAAGGTGCTCTAAGGTCTCCCTGGAGCCTTCTCTTCTCCAGGCTGAACCCCCCAACTCTCCCAGCCTGGCTCCAGAGCAGAGCTGCTCCAGCCCATGGGTCATCTTTGTGGCCTCCTCTGGACTTGCTCCAAGAGCTCCACATCCATCCTGTGTTGAGGGCAAAAGTGATGCTGGTGATGCTGGGCACAAACCAGCTTTGGTCTCACTGACTGGGCTTCGTATGCCTGAACCATTAGCACTCCTTATGTCAGCAACCCAAATCTTTTGCAAAGCCTCATGTGTGGGGTTGAGCAGGGTGGCTCCTGAACACTTTAAGGATGATTTGTTTTTCCTCTCTGGTTCCAGGTCCTCACGGCTGCTCCGTGCGTTCTACGTCCCGTTCCTGTCCGAGCAGCACACATGGTATGCAAACTACACCATCCTGAAACCCCGGAGGTCCAAGCAAGCCAGGAAAAAAATGGGAGGCTAGTCACACACCTGGGCAACCAAACCAAAAGCATCTGCTGGCACTCTTGGCCTCAGCCACCCTCAGTTCTCTTTTTTGAAAGATTGTGCTTGTGAGAGTCACTAATAAAGATTTCCCATGAAGTGATTTTGCTCTGCCAGCTTCCAGCTGCACTAGGGGTGCATCATCAGGTCTCTGCTCTGCCTACACAGGACAGATTGGTGAGAAACCATCTGAAAATCCAGCAGCCACCTACAAGTGTATTATCCCTGCTGCTCCCTCTGTTGCACCAGAGAAGAGAAAAATGGGAAGTAAAAAGGAATCGCCGTGTGAGGTCCTGCTCCAGGCTGCCCTCTGGCACTGGGAAGATCTCTGTCTCCTGTCTCCCCCATCCCTCATCTGCTTCAGTAGTGCTGACCTTCTCCCAGGGGATTTTTTTTCAGGTAACAAGGTTTAGGAAGTTTTTGTTTTGAAAGAACAAGGAAGGGGAAAAGAGGAGAACACCCGAGATGCAAGTAACTGAAATGCACTCAGTCTGAAGGAATGAAATAGCAGGAACCCCAGAGGAACAGCAAGTGCCTCTGTCCAGGAGCATAAACCTGGGCTTTTGGGAGCAGAAACCCCAAATGTAGGAGTTGAGCCAACTATCTGTTATAATGGGATCAGGAGTGGTTTTGTTAATCAGTGAAACAAAGTTGTTTGCTATTCATATTTTTTACGCTACCCACAACATCCTTTGAATTCTAGACTTTCATATCTCAACATTTGTGGAAACATCCAGACAGAAGAAGAAAAAATAGTAATTTTTTTTGCAATCTGTTTCCCAAAATAGGCAGGATGTGTTCCATTGATCCATGGTGCTTCAGAGCCAAGCCTCATTTTTAAAACATGCAGTATCACAAGCTGGATGAAGGGAGTTGTTTTCACTCCCATCCTGGAACTCTGGGGATGGGGTGGCATGAGGATGGAGCAGAGGAAGCTCCTTCTGCAAAAAAGAACTTCTCTCTGGTGTTGTTTCTGTGACTGTTCCATGTTGTCATAGCCTGTCACCTCATGTTTAGTGTGAAAATACAGTAAATCTCCATTTTAAATGACTGTGGCTGCTCCACCTTCCTCTCCAGCTTGATTCCTGCTCTGGGATGGTGGTAGGAGACTGATGACTTGACAGCAATGAGGAGTTACCAGTGTTTTCCAGAGAAATGCAGCAAGGGTTTGGTTCCTGGTAGGAAAAGAAGGTGAAGGTGCAGCTACAGGTACTGGACAGTTGGACAGCTTTGCATTGAGAGTTTCCCAGCAAGGCAGGGACTCCAGTTTGCAGAGTCAGTCCTGCCACCTGGAGAATTTTCAGGTTAAAGAGATGAGTTAGAGAAATGATGGGTTGTTTTTCTCTTTGATGACAAGAAGAGGTCACATTTTAATGATGATTTCAGAGGGAAGTTGGGAGTCTCAGTGCTGCAAAGATCTTGACCCAGAAACTCATTTGAAGTCCCATATGGAGTCTGGCTACAAGTCATTTAGTGTCTCTGGCAGTGAAAAAGCTTTCCTGGCAGCAGGTAAAGGAGCCAGGGTCTATCTTTAGTCCCTGCTAATGCCTGATTGTTGGCATGGGAAGTGCTGCTGGGCAGCTGGAATGTAGTACAGGGCCAATCTGTTGGTCCCAGCTGAGACCACTGGGAATGAGAGGGTGAAGTTGCTGCTAATGGTGTTTCTGTTCTAAAGACTGAGCCACAGGTGAGATTCTGACAGGAGAAGCTAAGGTTCCCTTCATATCTTCATGCTTCACATGTCAGGACTGTTGCTGTGCTGAGGTTAAGCCAAAAGTCATAGAATCGTAGAATCATTCAGGTTGGAAGGGACCTCAAAGATCACGAAGTTCCAACCCCCCTGCCATGACTAGGGAACCCTCACACCAGACCAGGCTGGACAAAACCTCATCCAACCTGGCCTTAAAAACCTCCAGGGATGGGGCATCAACAACCTCCCTGGGCAACCCATCCCAGCTCCTCATCACCCTTAGAGTGAAGAATTTCTTCCTAATATCTAACCTAAATCTCCCCTCTCTCAGTTTAAAACCATCACCCCTTGTCCTGTCACTACCTTCTCTGATGAAAAGCCCCTCCCCAGCTTTCCTGGAGCCCCTTCAGGCACTGGAAGCTGCTCTAAGGTCTCCCTGGAGCCTTCTCTTCTCCAGGCTGAACATCCCAACTCTCCCAGCCTGGCTCCAGAGCAGAGCTGCTCCAGCCCTGGGATCCTGGTGGCCTTTCTCTGGACCCCCTCCAACAGCTCCATGGAGGCACCAGAACTGGACACAGTTCTCCAGGTGGGGTCTCACCAGAGCAGAGTAGAGGGGCAGAATCACCTCCAAGAATCACCTCACCAAGTCAATAATGAGAAGATTGCTAGGAAATAAACTGACTCGATGGAGTGAGCAGTGCAGGTCCATGGAGAATGTGCCTTGGGGCCTGAGGAAGAGCCTGGAAGAACTGCCTGCCTGGCTCAGGTTTAGCTGGATGAAGGATCTTGCTTCTTGAATGCAGATGTGGGTGCAAATTGGTTTGCACCAAAAGGTGGAGCTGCATCCAAGACAAAACAATTGTAAAGGCATTTTGTAGTTTGCCTCTCTGGTTTTGTTAGCAAGCTTGATGTTTCTTTTCTTTTTGCTTTCACCCTAATTAAAGCAAATTATGATCACGTTGTGAGGAAGCAGGCTAGGGACATTTAATTTATTATCTCTATTAAAAAATGAATAAAGTCTTGTGGTTTGTGAGCTCGTGGGTAAAGAGTCAAACCACAAATTGCTCATCTGCCTAAGCTGGATTCCCAGCCTAGAGTTGCCTTGGGCAGAGAGGGGTGTTGTGACCAAACCAGTTGGGCAGCACATCAGGGTTGTGTAGGCAATCCACCTTTGTCATCCTTTCTGTCTCTGGAGAAAGGGCTCTTCTGTTATTCTGGCTGGTTCTGGAAAAGATGGTATCTAGATGGCTTGGAAAGATGGTATCTAGGTGGCTTGGAAAAATGGTATCTAGGTGGCTTGGAAAGATGGTATCTAGGTGGCTTGGAAAAATGGTATCTAGGTGGCTTGGAAAGATGGTATCTAGGTGGCTTCCTGCAGTGCTGCAGGGTCTGACAGAAGCTGGTGTCTTGGCAGATCCACAGATGGGCACAACCTGTGGCTGCATGAGGTGTCTCCCATGAAGCTGAGAGGTGGAGCAAGGCCCTCAGCTGGTCAGAGAAGGGAGAGGGGTCCCAGGACTCCTCACCTCCTCTTTGCTGGCAGCATTTCTCCACCTTTACCCTGAGGCGGAGGGCTCTGCAGGGGGGACAAGTGCTGCTGTGAAATACTGGCACCCAGCAAATTCCATCTTGTCTGAGCTCATCCCATCCTTGCAACAAGAAGCACTGAGGTGCAGAGTCCCTGAGGAAGCAGCAGCAGTCAGACAGACTGACACTGTCCAAAACAGGCTGAGGAAAGTCACTGTTTCCACAGAACTGTGTTTTCTTGCTTCTCTGCTGCAGCAGG